CTTCCGCTGGAAGAAGCAACTTTTCTGCTACTTGTAGGCCACTGAATTAGCGTTAAAGAAATTTTAGCAAACAGCCACCTTAAGCCTGGGGTCTGCAAAGCTGTTTAAGTGTGCTCTCTGGATGGAAGGGCTTTATTCATCTTGATCCATAGATGCCCGTAAAATCACCATGTAGACAAGCCTGAAGTTATAGAGGGCACTAAAGAGCAATGCAGCAATTAGGGTTAGGATTCAGTTGGTTTTTCAAACAATAGAGGATTCCAACTTCTCCAATCAGCTCCCCAAATCAGGATTTTCCTATTTTCAGATCGTTTCCCTACATCCCCTGCAGGATTTTTATTTCTCTAGTCATCTTGTCTTACCTAGATTGTGCTTCTATTGCCTTCTTGATTCTGTCAGCTTCTGTGTTCTTTTCTGATTTCTGATTTATTGGCTTGTGTAAGCAGTTTCTCTCATCAGCCTTTACTTTCTAATTCCCTGGCTTCTCATGTGTTTTCTCAGCAGACTCCCTTGAGTGTAGGGAACCAGTTCTATTTTAGACTAAGTAACTGAACATACACATTTATGTCATATATGATACAAATCATCAATACAAAAATTTCCCACTATATTTCTCCTCAAGTTGCTTTTTCTCTGTGTTCCTCACACAAATTTACCTTTTCTGTCCTTTTCAGTAAATAAAATGTCTTTAAAAAGGGGAATAATAGATACTATTAAATTTTTAGAGTACATTCTGCTGTCTTGAAGGCCTTACAAGCCGTTGGCTCACAGGACATCCGTAAAGATCCATAAGCATTGATTATTTCAGAAACTGCAAAATGGTATATGGCAAATATCATGATTAATTAATGATTTTCTCACAAGGGATAAAATATTCATATTGAAGCAGCCTCAATTCAGTAAACTTTTTAAAAATGTTTTTTACTCATTTTGAACTTAAGTACAAAAAGATTTTAAAATTTCCATTCGTATAGCACAACACAAAGAGAAGATTCAACATGAAACCATGAATCTCCATTTCAAACTGTTTACCACGTTTGAAAAACTATGTACTACATACTATACATTGTTTTCAAAGATGCCCTGCTTTTCTGTGTTTCCTTCTGAGTTTTCTTTTGTTCTCTGCTGTTTTTTTTATTTTTTCTCCCTCCCTCCTCACCCCATAGTAGAGAAGACCACCATTAGAAGCAGATACACACACATATGCACACATACATATATTATATATACACACCTATATATACACATATACATATGCTATGTACATATATATATATATATATTAAACCACATTACACATATTTCTATCTATCAGTTCTTTCTCTGGAGGTAGATAGCATCTTCCTTCATAGGTCCTTTATAGTGGATTTGAGTATTTACAATACTCAAAATAACTTAGTCATTCACAATTATTCTTAGAACAATATTGCTGTTACTGTATATGTCTTTCTCTTGGTGCTGCTCATTTCACTTTTCATTGTTTTCTGTAAGTCTTTGCATGTTTTTTTCTAAAATCAACCAGCTCATTATTTTTTATAGCACAGTAGTATTTCATCAAAATCATGTACCACAATTTGTTTAGCCATTCTCAATTGAAGGGCATCCGCTCAATTTCCAGTTCTTTGCCACCACAAAGAGAGCTGCTATAAATATTTTAGAACCCATACGTTCTTTTCCGCTTTCCAAATAATTTGGGGAAACAGACTAAACGGTGGCATTGCTGGATCAAAGGGCATACACAGTTTTATAACTCTTTGGATATAATTCCAGATTGCTCTCCAAAATGGTTGGACAGTTCATAGTTCCATCAACAGTGTATTAGTCTCTTTCCTCCTCTTCTCCTTCTCACCCTCCTCAGCTCCTCTTAGCTCTTTTCCTTGTCTTTTGCTTTCCCCTTTCCCCCCTTTTCTCTTCTTCATCCTGCCCTTCCCTCTCCATCTTAGTCTTTTCTTTCTTCTCTCTCTTCTTGACCCCACCTTTCCTTTTCTCTCTTCTCTTTCTTTCTCCCCTTTCTTCCTTTCTCTCTTCACCTTGTCCCTTCCCTTCTTCATACTTTTCTCTTTCTCCTTTCTTTCCTCTCATTTCTGTTCGTTGAACCCTCTTTTCTTCTTCCTTTTGTTTCTTCTCCAGAATTCTTTCTTCTTTTCTTCCAGTTGACTCATTCCTCCAAGAATAGGGATCTTGTGTTTTCCTGTCAGTTTGATCCTGGAAAAACTCCTTCCTCTCTCCCTTCTGGCCTCCTACCTTTTCTCCTATCCTCAAAGTGGAAGCTACATATGTGGCAAATTGTGTGCTATATTGTGAGGATCCTGTCTCCCCATCATTATGCCCTTAGGGAAAGGGCTCTGCTGTTCTCCAGCCTATTTTTCCCAAGCTTGAGTATCCTTACAGTCATCCCAACGTGATTTCCCTTGTTCATTATCTACAGTGTTATTGGAGAGCTGGAGTAGAGTTGGTGCATCTCAGAGCATCCTTCAGAACTCACTTAGCACACCATCCCTCTCTTATCCCCCATCCTGGGACAGCCTTCCAGTCACGTAGGTTCCCAGCCTGGGGGTCATCCCCATCTCTTCACTTTCCATCAATCTCCATATCCAATCAATTGCCACAACATTTTGTGCATCCATTCCCTTCTCTCCACTCACATGGTTACCACCTAGTTCTGTCCTTCGTCTGCCCTTTCTTGGACTATTGCTACAACCCAGAGATAGTAAAACTGGCAGCCTGCAAACTCTCTAGTGAGGCCTCAACCTTGAAAAGGAGCTGGGAAATATTTAACAAGATAAATAAGATATATAATAAAACATTTTAAAAAATAGTGTATTAGTGTCCAATTTTTCCAAATCCCCTCCAACATTTGTCATTTTCCCCTTCTATCATTTCAGCCAATCTGATAGGTGTGACATATCGCAAAGTTGTTTTTATTTTCATTTCTCTTATCAATAATGATTTAGAACATTTTTTCATATGACTACATACAGTTTTGATTTCATCATCAAAAAACTGCCTGTTCTTATCCTTTGACCATTTCTCAATTAAGGAATCAGTACCCTTCTTCTGATTTATACATTTAAAAGATGAAAATAATCACCAGCAAAATCAGAGTAGGCTAATGTAAAAGACACCACAAGCCTTACTTGGAATGAGGGCAAAATTAAATCCTCTTCATCACCTGCCTATTTGATCTTGATACAAAAAAGCATATTGGCATTATCCAGGGGTACTGATTTTTTTTTTCACTTCATCCTCTGAAGGGCAATTACTAGAAGCAGGGGAGGAATAGATGGGTGAGGCTATGTAAGTGCTGGACCTGGAAGCAAGAAAACTTAGGTCCAAATGCCATCTCTGATACTTAGCAGCCCATCCATACAACAAAGATAATTATTCTTATAGTACTTAATTCACAGGATTGTGAGACCCAAGTGACATAATGCAGATAAAGTTCTTTGCAAACTGTCTATATAACTGTCAATTATCATTAATGTTCCCCAATGTAGTTCATTAGACCTTTTTCATTGGTTGCCAGTTTCATTACTTTTCCTCTCCTCCTTTCTTCTTAAGACTGCTAGATAAATTGTTCTAAGGAAGGACTCTCTCTTGGTTTTTTCACGTACCCAGTAAAAAATGTCTAGAGTAGTTTTTGATTAAGCTTGGTTTGTACAGAGATGCACTGAAGATAATGGAAGACAGGACAGTATCCTTCCAGACTGTCAAGAGAGAATACAGCCAAGTACAAACCAATATCTTTCTTTCTTTCTTTCTTTCTTTCTTTCTTTCTTTCTCTTTCTTCCTTCCTTCCTTCCTTCCTTCCTTCCTTCCTTGCTTCCTTCCTTCCTTCCTCTTTTTCTTTCTTTCTTTCTTTCTTTCTTTCTTTCTCTCTTTCCTTCTTTCTGTCTCTCTTTCTTTCTTTCTGTCTTTCTTTTCCCTTTTTGTTTTATAATTCTCCAAACACACTTAATCTGTAAACATTTCACCAGCATGTATTTTATCAATGAAAGATACTTGCAAACTGATAGACATCTGAACAACTTCAGTATTTTCTTTTCTTGACAATTTATGTTCTATATCTCTTCATTTTATATTGTTTATTTTGTTTCTCAAAGCAACCATTTAACATGCAGAAATATATGTAGATTTTATCTAGAATCTCACATGTGAATCTTTATTTCACCAGGCACAAATTCAAATGCTTTTAATACTTTTTTACTTATACTTCCTATTTTTGTTGTTGTTCAGTGGTTTCAGTTGCGTCTGATTCTTTGTGACCACATTTGGGGTTTTCTTGACAAAGACATTAGAGTGGTTTGTCATTTCTCTCTCCAGCTCATTTTACAGATGAGGAAACTGAAGCAAACAGGGTTTAAGTGCCCTGGGCTCACACAGCTAGTACATGCCTGAGGTCAGATTTGAACTCATGAAGATGAGTCTTCCTGATTCCAAGTCCAGTGCTCTCTTTGTTGCGCCACTAGTAGCCCCTTATTCTTCCTACAACAACATGATGTGAAAACATACAAGTAGGTGTTTTTACAGTCAATATGGAGGCAAAAATGTTCATGTATTTTAATTGCCATTGAACATCCAAATAGATGCCCCATTCAACATTTAATATGTTGAATGTGTAGTCTCACAAAATATACCTTATTTTATCCACAATGTGGTGTTAAGATCATATTAGTCTCTGATTTTCAGAATTGTTTTACTTTGAGCCACGAAGTGCTCTCATCTTAGTGATGCTAGGCTCAATGGAACAATATTACCTTCCTGCAAAGAGGTATTTGAACTTAAAAAAAAATTTTTTTCGCTGCTCTGAATGTCTTTTACTTTACTTATTTTACCAAGATGGTACAATTGTATGACATTAAAGATGAACTGGAAGTTTGAATATCAAATGATAAACTTCCTAAATGGTGTAGATTGAATGTAATAAATAACTGAAAGATATGAGAGATCTGTATAGAGTGCATAGTTGATTTTACCTTTTTCCTGTTTCTTTATTACAGGAACACAGAAATCAGTTCAGCAACCGAATGTACATATGGATTCTGTCATTCTCTTCCACAGCATATGATGGAATTGAGCTGGTCTTTGAGGGATGTTTTTGATAATATTTTCATCTCAACAGCTTAGCTCAAACTTTCCTTAACAAAGCATTTTGTCATCCACATAGGAATGTTGCTAGCCCAAGCTCTGATTTGTTCCATTTTGAAATAGCTGTCATAGGCATCAGCATTAATAATAATAGAGAATAAACAGAATTTGCATCATCTGACACTGCTTCAGAAGAGATTGTACCTATACAGAAAGAAAAAAAAGTGAAACAAAAGGTAGAAAATGCTTGAGCATGAGAAATGTGGATAGCATTATCTAAAGAACTAGATCCTCTTTCCCTTCATTAAGAAATGTGGTATTTGATCACAAGTCATTTTAAATGGTTCATCTAGCCAACTGCCACTTTTTATCAGTTAATAAACATTAATAAGTGCCAACTATGTACCGGGCACTGTATTAAGTGCTGAGGATAGAAAGAGAGCAAAAGACAATCCCTGCGTCTGAGAACCTTACAGTCTAATGGGGAAGACAACGTATGTGTGTGTGTGTGTGTGTGTGTGTGTGTGTGTGTGTGAGTTTATGTGTGTAGTGATGTTAGGATATCCCAGGGATCACACTGGAAACAGCAATGGCCACTGACTCTTCCCCCCAACATTTGTTCTAGTTCCTCAGGATCTGGTGAATGCTCTTCTTCGAAAGAGCAGAGAAAAAAAGGGAGGAAAAGGGAGTATAGAATGTTTCCAATCACAGAGAGTTCCAAAATAAACAAATCCTGCCTCCAACCAGCCGCAGTCATCCTACCATCTTGTCAGACTCCTATCTAAACTGGGAATCCTACTCCTTGGAGGAGTTCTGCTCTTCTAAGAAGCTTCTTTCTACAGAAAACAGATCCTAGGCATGTGACTGTAGGTTGTTCTCTTCTTGACACAATCCTAAGTGAACTGTAGATTCTAGGGTCTGCATGAGGGAGGGAAGGATATTGTAGATCGTGAGTTAGAGAGAAGGAAGGAATAAAGGGTGATGCCAAGGACCTTAAATACTATCTATCAATTTGTATGTTATATTTTATCTGATGTTATTGCTTTACTTTAGTCATTCAGGATAAATAATAAAAAAGAGGAATTAGTTATTGCTTACCATATAGAAAAATAGTTACCAAATTCATTACTTTGCATTGATGGACATATTAACAAAAATGATTATTTAACTGAGGGTCTCAGCTTTGATTATATTTATCATTCTAGTGCTTCGTAGTACTTCCCACAAACTCATAGCCTGTTTATTAAGGGGCTTTGTTCTGTGAAGTTTGAATTTAATCAAAGGGCCACACTTGAGGATGTAGAGGTCCACATGTGGCCTTGAGGCTACAGGTTCCCCACCCTTGGCCTAGATCTCCTAGAGAACAGGTACCACAGGTTCAAGTTAAGGGTCAGAATCCCCTTAGAAAAAGGTGTAGCGAAAGAAAATAAAAATGAAAAGATGGAGGTGAAGGGAGGAGATTCTAAGCCAATCACTTAACTGAGTGGGGGAAAGAGAAGATAAAATACATAAAAATTAATAATTTAAATAAAATCTGATAATTTAGGAAAAGATAGGCAAGCAGAAGCAGACAAAGGAAGAGAGGTCATGTAAACAGATCAGCATCAAGGCATTTTAAGAGGCAGCTAGGTAGCTCAGTGGATAGAGAACTGGACCTAGAGTCAGGAAGACCTAAGCTCAAATCCAGTTTCAGACACTTACTAGCTGTGTCACAGGTTACTTAACCTTTGTCTGTCTTAGCTCACTAGAGTAGAAAATGTCAAACTACTCCAGTATCTTTGCCAAGAAAACCCCATGGACACATGGTCCACAGGTCATGAAGAATTGGACACTACTGAACAATGGTTTAAATAAACTAATTTCATGATCAAAGTATTGACTTAAAAGAGGAAAAGTTTTCTTATGTTTAAAGAAGTACTAAGAAAATAAATGGAAGGAAACAAAACCTTAAAACTTTAAGTATATATGGATTAAACAATCTAATTAGAATAATGCAGAAAATAATAAGAAAACTAAAACCAAAAGTCAGCTTTCTATAAGAAACACATTCAAAATCTTATAAAAGTGAATGTTGAAAACTATCTTTACAGGTTATTGGGGGAAAATAAAATACTATTAAGTGGGAAAAAAGAAACACATCCAACCAATAAAAGCTAGAATAAATATGGCTATTCATCAGGTAAATATAAGTAAACAGGAATTGTGATAATGCTATCTAAAAAAAATCACGATATCACTATTGAAATCATGTTAATGGAACCTGAAAAATGAGATAGTATCAACACTTAACATAGGCTCCAAAATGATACTATATGTAAATTCATAAAAGAAAAGCCAACTGAATAAAAAATAAGGCAGATAAAAGATTAATTGTATTATGCTTTCAGATTTCTCTCTCAACATTGGATGAATCTCACAAAACTAAACAAAAGGTGAGATAGAACAAAAGAATTTTCTGGAAGTGACAGCTGAAAATTTATGCTATCTTCGAATTGGAACATTAATGAATATACAGATTGCTCTCAACCACATGGTACTTTTATAAAAAATATATATATATATATATATATATATATATGCTAGTGCATAGAGAAATTATAAATAAATGGAAAAGGTAGAACTACTAAAGCTGTTCTTTACAGACCATAACAATAAAAATATTAATAAAGTGAAAACAAGGACACAGATCTAAATGGAGACTTACTACCAAAATATTGAATGAGTGAATCAAAGAACAAATCATAGAAATAACCATGTAAAAGAGAATGATATGGCGACGTACCAAAATTTCTAGGGTACAGCTAAAATAGTCTTCAGAGAAAAAATGTATCTATGAGGATTCACATTAGCAAAACAGAAAAAAAGAATCAATGAGTTTAATATAGAATTTAAAACAAGAAAATTAACAAAAAGACCTTAAAATAAGCACAAAAGGGCACATTTTGAAAAATTGAGAACAAGAAAAAAGAAAATAGAAAACAAAAGACTTAAAACTTAAAAAAACAACTAAAAGCAAGTTATTTGAAAAAGCTAACAAACTCAATAAACCTTTAAGTCATTTGATTTTAAAAAGAGTAAGAAAAATGAAATTGTCAAGTGAAGAAAAAGATGCAATCACAGTAAAGGAGCAATAAAAAGAATGACCAGAACAAATTTTGCATAGCTGTATGCCAACAAAACTGAGAACTTACAAATAGGTTGTCTATAAAAATATAATTTTCAATTAACTTAACATCAAATAAAGTCCCTTAGCAGAAAAGGAAACTGAACTAGAATAAAGGAACTTCCAGAGTTTAGGGGAAGGGAGTGAGAACCCTGGCATTTATTGGAAAAAAATATTATCATTTAAAAATATTGGGGAAACAATGTAAAGACTCTACAAATAACCTTTTATTAGTCCTATGAACTAAACAGGGAAGAATAAAGCAAAGGGAGAAAAGAATAAAGCAAAGAGAGAGGGAGAAGATAAAACAATTTCATTAATGGATGTTGGATTTTGAAATTTAAATAAAATCTTAGCAAAAATGCAATGCCAATTTATCCTTATCATAAAAATCAAGTTAGGTTTAAATGAAGGGATATGAAGGTAATTCAATCAGAAAATCAGCAAATAATCATATTAAGGGGCAGCTAGGTGGCACAGTGGATAGAGCACCGGCCCTGGAGTCAGGAGGACCCGAGTTCAAATCTGACCTCAGACCAAACACTTGACACTAGCTGTGTGACTCTGGGCAAGTCACTTAACCCCGACTGCCTAAAAAACCCCAAAAATCATAAAAAAAATTTTAAAAAATCATATTAAAAACAAAAATAATAAAGAAAATGTTTTGGATTTTCTTTTACTAAATACATATAAATATTAATTTTCTATGTGTATTCTATGGGGCAGCCAGATGGCACAGTGGATAGAGCACCAAGCCTAGAGTCAGGAGGATCTAAGTTCAAATCTGGCTTCGAACACTTAGTAGCTGTGTGACCCTGGGCAAGTCATTTAACCCTATTTGCCTCAGTTTCTTCATCTGTAAAATGAGTTGGAGAAGGAAATGACAGGCCACTCCAGTATCTTTGCCAAGAAAACACCAAATGGGGTCATGAAGAGTCAGAAGTGACTGAACAGCAAATATACATTCTATATATGTTAATGAATATATGTATATTTCATACATATTATATTTTAACACAAAAGTTAACCTTGTATGAATTGGGAAAACAGTAGAAGCTTTGTCATTAAATAAAATGTTAAGCAATAAGGCCCCTTTCTCTGCAATTATTTGACAACTCTAGAATTGCTATCAAACAAAAAGGCAAGAAAAAAAAAATTAAGGCTTAAATACCAAAAAAGAGCAAACAAAATCATGACATTTGATGAGGGCATGATTGTTTAGTTAGAAAACTATGTAAGAAACCAGTTGAGAAAATTAATAGCTTTAGTTAAGATGGAGGACAAAATAGACACATAAAAATGAGCATTTTTTTGCAGAGCAATAATGAAATTCAGGATGAAATAATAACAAGAGATATCTAATTCAAAATGACTACAACATGCCTAAAATATCTGGAAATCAATTAGTAAAATATATTCAAGCTTTGTACAGATACAATTACAAAATACTCCTCAAAGAAATGAAGAATAACTTAGATAACTGGGTATACAATCACTCGTTATAAGACTACACTGACCTAACAAGAATGAAAATGCCACCCAAATCAATTTACATATTTAGTCCTATCCATATCAAGCTGCTAAGAGGAGACTTCACAGATCAAGACAAAATAACAAGCTTCATCTGAATTAACAAAAGTACCAAATTCTCAAGAGAAACAATGAAAAAATGTAGCAATGAAAGAGGGTTATCATTTGCAGACCTCAAATTATATTTAAAGCAGTAATTATGAAAACTATTTGGTGGTGATTAAAAATTAGAAAATTATATCAGTGGGACATACTGGATAAGAAGAATCAGAAACAATTAAGCTCAATAACCCAGGGCTTGATAAACCCAAGGAAAGAAATTACGTGAAGAATGCCCTAATTGATGAGAATTACTGGGTCAATTGAAAAATAGATTGGTAGAAGTTGGGTTTAGATCAACATCTTACATCTTATACTACAAAAAACTTAAAATGGCTATGTCCCTAGCATATTAAAAAAAATAATAATTGAGAAGATTAGATCGGTGA